CTTGGCATCTATTGGACGTGAGAGGGGCTTATACCAACCTGAATGCTAGCTCTTCTGAGAAGCCTTCCCTGGTCATGCTGTATGGAAACAACCATCTCTCCTACCCTCCAGCTCTGGCTCCATGTAGTCCTCACACACCTAAGGGGCTTTTTAAGCTCGCTCACCTCTTCAGTGCCTCCTTTGACCAGACCAGGGTTTGCTCTCCTGCATTTTCTCCTGCTTCCCAGCACTTAGCGTGGCGCCTGGGACACAGCGAGGCTCTGTGAAGGTGAGCTGACTGAATGTATGCATGGAAGAAGCTCATAGCTTTTATTTGAGGAAGAGGGTGGAGCGAGCCAGAGCTAGGCTGGGCTTGAACTCCTGATTCTCCTTCCTTCATCTCCTGGGGCTTGTACACCACTCCTGCCTCTTTATAGAGGTTTATTTGTTTGTTTTTAGAAAAGTAGGCATAATCTCTGTTCAAATTATATTTCAAACCTGAATTCAGAAACAAAATGAGGAGGCCTGGGGTGGGGATGGAGGCATAGATGTTTCACCGCAACTCCTGGCTCTCACAATGATGCTGTTTGGGAGGTGAGATCCTAATTTTGACAGCCAGGTGATTTTGGTCTGAGAGGTGAAGGTACCTGGTAGGTCAGGGCTGTGCTGGTCCTTGAACTGGATGCGAGACAGGCCTTGGGCAGCTTAACCCTCACCTTTCTTGAGCACTAATGTGCTCTCCGCCCCCAGGAGCCCAGGTAAGCACCCTTGGTGGGCTTGTCTGGTTCGGCCCAAGCTCTACTCAGCTCACACTTGTATATCTTCAGAGCTTACTTCATCCCAGAAGAGTGGCTTCAGCCAGCCTTGGGCTGGGTGGGTGCAGGGAGCCGGGCTTGGCACAGATCTGATCCTGCCCTGGGTGGAGCAGAGTTGGGTGGTGTCATGGTTAGTGTTCTCCACTTGGTGGAGAGGAGCCTCATCTGGGTCATCTTGGTTTTATTGAGGTGTGAAGATCTGCCCCCTGTGGGTGGCACCATTCCCTGGCTGGGATCCTGAATTGTGTAAGAGGAGGAAGGGAGCTGAGTGGCAGCTTGTGTTCATCACTCTCCTCTCTGCTTCCTGACTGTGGATGTGATAGGGCCAGCAGCTTCAGGCTCCCGCTGCCTTGCCTCTCCTGCCGTGGTGGGCTGTCTTCTTGAACTGTGAGTCAGAATGAGAACTACCTCCCTTGAGGTGCTCTTGTGAGGGAATTTCACCATAGCAACGGGAACAGTAAGACAGACAGGCTGTTTGTGACCTTGTAACCACTGGGGCCCTCACTGCCTTTCTGGAGCCCACCGCGTGTGGCCACTGTCTTTTCGAGTCCAGAGGTCTAAAGGCAGAGCTGCCTTGAGGGGCCAGGCTCTGGTGTCTCCATGGGCCGAACCCTTTCCATTGCCCTGGATGGCTTCTCTCCCTGCCTTGCACTCTGCCCCGTTCAGAGTTCTCTACTTGGGGTTCAATGTCGAGCCCTCTATCAGGTGCCCACCTCAGTCTCTGGCTGTCCCAACTCTGCCAGTTTCACCTTGCTTCACCCCTCTCTGGTCTGCACCGGGTCTGCCCCTCAAAGCTGGAACGGGCCTCCCTGCCTCCATGACTCCCTTCAGTCCCCTGGCCCGATCGCCAACTGCCCTTTCCAGACCAGGCCCTATCTCACTCAGAAGGTTGTGTGACCGTCTCCCCAGACCCACTAGGCTGGGACCCTTCTGTGTCTCTACTAGCTTAGGCTGGACTCCAGCTAGCCTGGCCTTGCTTGTGTTGCCCGAAGATGGGGTACTGTTCTTGCCTCAACGCCTGTCCTTGGTGGGTCCCTGCACTAGGTTGTCTCTTCCCAAGAAATCCACTCACTGTTCCCCTTTTCCTCATTCAGAAAGGACGTCTTGGTCCCTTAGCTAGGTAACACACCCCTTCCCCCGTCTTTTCCCATCACACTCCATTCTCTGAGGCCATCTCAGGCAGGGACATGGACTCTTGCTCACTGCTTCTTGCCTCCATTAGGGCACCGCCTTCCCAAAGGCTCCAGCTGTCTGTTTGGTTCACCCCGAGATCCTGAGTACTGACAATAGTACCCATCCACAGCCTAGGACACAGTGGGTGCTTAGTAAATATGTCACGGTGAATGAATGAATGCTCCTTTTAGAACCACAGTTTACACTCTGGTAACATCTTTAGGAAACACTTTTGGGAAGTCCTCTGTGGGGAGCATGGCAGGGGGAGCAGGCTCCCTCAACACCCCAGACTGCCTTCTACTTCTGCATGAGACATAAGCTTTAGGACCCTAGTCTTTCCCCAGGTAGCTAGCCCTCAGGGCTAATTCTGTCCCTCTCTGAGACTCTCTTACTAAGGTGGTAGGGTTAGCTAACCTGGGCTCAGGGCTGACTCAGGCTCCACCCACCTGCAGGTGAGCCCCACCCACCTCGCTGGCCCTCAGCAAATCTTCAGGAAGTCCCTGCTTCTTGCTTTGTCCCTGGTGGTATTTCACCATGATTTATCCCATTTGCCTATCCAGTCACTTCCTTGGTTTTCCAGAGAAGCATGTTACCAGACCCCAACTCCCTGTCGGATGTGGGGATGGGGGTGTGCTGGATGGGGGTGAAGACATGCATGGGGCAGAGACTAAGAAACTTCTGTCGGGGCTGGAGAGATGGCTCAGTGGTTAAGAGCACTGGTTGTTCTTCCAGAGGTCCTGAGTTCAATTCCCAGCAACCACATGGTGGCTCACAACCATCTGTAATGGGATCTGGTGCCCTCTTCTGGCCTGCAGGGATGTGTGCAGACAGAACACTGTATACATAATAAATAAATAAATCTTTAAAAAAAAAAAAAGAAACTTCTGTCTTGCTAGGATGTTGGGTGCAAACCAGCAAATTTGCAGTGTGGGGTGATGAGACCTGAGATGGGGATACAGGCAGGGGGTGAGAGGGGCCTAAGAGGGGCTTTTGAACCATAAAAGATGTATGAGGGCAGGGACCCTTCTAGAGAAATCATCCCTGCCTCCCAGCTCCCCTGGCTTCATGGGATGACAGAAGCGGTGGCTTTGACCTTTCCCAAACCAAGCTGTCTAGCTCAGACTACCACATTATATAGCGCAGGGCCCGCACACCCACACCATCCTAGGCAGGCTGCTGCCTGCTTTTGTGAATGACCTTTCATGGAGAGTGCCACTAAGAATCCTGTATCAATTTTTCCTTAACAAGTGACATCCAATAAAAATCAGGCATGGTGGCTCATGCCAGCACTGGGGAGGTGGGAGAAAGGGAATTGAAAGTTGAAGGCCATCCTCGGCTCTACAGAACGTTTACGGTTAGCCCGGGCTACATGAGAGACCCTGTCTTTACGAAGAGGGGCATTTATTCAAAGGTTCCAGTGTCTGGGGCTAGGATGGAGCCACTGTGGCTTGAACAGCTGAGAACATTTCCTGTCTCATCCTTTGCAGAAAATGTTTACTCATGTATTATACACCCTAGAACTCCTACATTGCTCAGTGAACTCAAGTCAGACCTTGGGACTCATGTTGCTGACACAAATCCGTGCAAGGACAAGATGAGCCAATACCCCAGACACGTCTCTCTTTTACCCTAAGGAAGCGGAGACACAGCATGGCAGAGGGTGCCCCTGAGGAATCCTGTATTTCACAAGAGGCATTAACTGAGCAACTATTGTATTCTGGGTGCAATACTGTATTCTGAATGACACAAACTGACTCAAGGCTCAGGTGTGTGTGTGTGTGTGTGTGTGTGTGTGTGTGTGTGTGTGTGTGTCTGACAACCAGACAGCCCCCAGGGAATTCTACTTAAGAGCAAAATTTCAAGGGAATCCAGAAAAGGAAATGACGACACTCATGATATTTTCCTCCCCCTGGCCCCCTCAAAAAGCTACCCAGGCGTGGTGGCGCACACCTTCAATCCCAGCACTCAGGAGGGAGAGGCAGATAGGTCTCTGGGTTCGAAGCCAACGTGGTCTACAGAGCGGGTTCCAGGACAGCCAGGGCTAGCAAAGTAACCCTGTCTTGGAAAACCAGTAAGTAAATAATAAATAATCTATAAGTTGTGTTCTACTCCCTTTCTGGCTGCCTCGCTAGTACCCCTTTCTATAGGCTTTTCAGGGAACCCGGATCCCAGGCCGCCCTGCAAGTTGTTGCCTCTGATGTGAGTAGTAATTACTGAAAGAGACAGGGGCCATTCATATAATAAAGTGCCTTCTGCTTTTTTTTTTTTTTTTTTTTTTTTCCATCAACAGGATCCCGGGTGATGTTAACTGAGAAGCTGTCGGGGCGGGAAAGAGGAGAGGCGGCCAGGAGCAGAGGCAGGGACAGTAGCTTCTGGTACTCTGTGAGCAAAGCTTTCATCAAGAAGCCTGAGAGCCTTCAGCGTAGCTGTCCCAGACCTCAAGGACCCTCAGCTCCTCTCTGGGAAATCCCTTTTGATAACTAACAAGGTCTGTGTTGGTTTCTGGGGATGCTTGAGAAATTTCCTTGGGGCTTCAAAAATGCTTTCTCTTGATAATATATCTCAGGGGGATTTAAGATCACAGCGGTTACACCAGGGTTTAACTTTGATTTGACTTGTGGCGGGGGGAAGGAAAAATTCTCTCCCTCTCTTTTTCTCTGTCCCTCTAGTACAAGTGCACCGTCACTGCCGGCTGGTTTTGTAATTATTTGAGAAATGTTTCCTGAATTCCTGTTCTGTGCCATGCCCAGCGTCGGAAGAGAATGTCCCTTCTCTGTAGAACCCAGGGATGTTACCCAGCAGACAAGGACCCCCCGTCCCGCCCCTCAGCGTGAGAAAGAGGGTGGCTTCCTGGAGGAGGTGAAGTGTGAGGAGAGATCTGGGAGATGAGCAGGAGTTAGCCAGTCAAGAGGGAGCAGTAGTTTCCTACCCTCAGCTGTAACCAGGGTTCTGAATACACCTGACCTTGGAGTCTCAGAAGGAACAATTTGAGGGACCCTTCAGCTAAGGAGATGAAAACACCGTGTCACTCACGGAGGAAGTACTCTGCGGTGTCCGCTTCGTAGTCTGCGTCCTCTGGAAAGTGGTCGATTTGCTTGCACAGACCTTTGAAGTTCCCTGCAAGATACGCAGAAGGAGCGAGTGAGTGCATGGTCTGCATGGCTCAGGACCCACCTGCCCTTCCTGGACATCATGATCTTCCGAGGGTCACTTCCTGGCCCCTTTGCCTGGTTGATGGAAGCACACGCTGCAGGCCTGAACACGGAGCTGAGGCTCAGACATGAAACCCCGCCTTCCGTCCCCACGTCCCCATCCCTGAGTCCCTGTTCTCACTGCCTTCTGGGGATTAGCTGGAGCCCAGGTTTGATTCTGGGTGGAGGATTGTGCTGAGAGGGGTGGGGGATGGGCTCAGCAGCCCAGCAGGGTGGTGGGTGCTGCTGCTTGGCAAGGAGTCAACCAGTTCTTTGCAAGCTGTGGATTCTTTCCCCAGAAGGCAGACCCCACCAGACTGATGCGACAGACAACCCCCTAGAAGATGGGACCCATCTGCGCTGGCAGGATATTCCCTTCCCAGCCCCACAGCCCCAGCAGTTTTGAGCTGGTGGGCCAGCCCTCTACCACATTCCTTTTTGGACTCAGTTTCTCTGTGTAGCCTAGACTGGCTTCACATTCATCATGATCTTCCTGTCTTAGCCTTCCAAATGCTGGGTCACAGGCCTGAGCCACCATGCTAGTTTTTAGTTTGTGGACCACAGTTCACCATAGCAATGAGAGGCCTGTGTGAGCAGTGTTATCACCCCATTTCACAGACAGAGAAACTGAGGTGCTCAAGCACCTCAGTACCAGAACAACAGCCTGGAGCAGAGTGCAACAAGGGCTCAGACTTTGACCTTTGTCTCTAGACTTTTGCTTGGTGAGAACTGGTCCCGGGCAAGTGCCAGCACAGAGCCCCAGTAGACTGTCAGCAGTGTTCACCCAGAGAGTGAAGGGTCATGGGAGGAGGGGAGCTGCAGACAGACTGACAGGTGGGATGCAGTTTGCCAGCACCAGAGTGTCCGCCCTGCCTCTGGTCTGCTCTGTGCATTTCCCAACTCTGTGTCTCCAGCAGCAGAGAAGGCAAGGCTGGTACCAGTCCCTGCAAGAAGGACAGCCTGGACTCAGACTGCCTGGTCCAGCTCAGCTTTCTTCACTTAACTCAGTTTCTGTCTGAGCACACATCCATGTTTCCTGAATGGTTGGTGGAGTATTTAGTTTGGTGACTGATGTGGGAGCCATGAACTGGAACTACCGTCAGCTACTGACTTTCTGTGACAGTGGCTAGAATCACCTAATAAATACAGTCCCCAGTAACTCAGCGATTTAAAGCTTTTGCATTTATTTTCTTATTTTCTTATTTATTTATTTATTTATTTATTTATTTACTTATTTACTTATTTATTTATTTTTAAGACAAGGCTTCCCTCTGTGTAGCCCAGGCAGGCTTGGAAGTCACTATTTAGTCCAGGTTGGCCTTTAGCTCATGGCAATCCTCCTGCCTCAGTCTCTCTAATGCTGAGATAACAGGCATGAGCCACCATGTCCAACTTAGCAAATAGTTTGCTTATAGAGTCTGAATATTTTATACACACACACACACACACACACACACACACGCACACGCACACGCACGTGCACACACACGCACACACGCACATGCACATGCACACACGTGTAGAGCACACTGGTCTTCTTGTTATTTAGCCTAGCTTTAATTTAATCCTAGGTCAAAATGGATCCATAATCTTCTGGGGATTTTGGTTTTCCTTCCTTCAGTCTTGGCCTGTTGTCTCCTCTCCACCCTCCTGCACCGAGGGTGCTAACAGGAGCCCCGAGCCACCCCAATACCTTATTCCCAGGCTCGCGCCTTCTCTCCCTTCTCCACCAGGAAGCCTCCACAGCAGCTGCTTAGCTTCCCCCTCCTATTCAGTTACGAACCCCACTTTTCAAAGCACTTTCACTTTCTTCCCATTTGATCTGACAAACATTTCATCAGCGCAGCTCCGTGACAGGCGGCTGCATGAGGGCTGTGCACAGGAGGCCCAGAGAGTCCCTGAGGCCACGGCCCTGACAACATGGGGACAGAGTTGAGTCTGGAGCGCAGGGCTGGAAGTGGCACCTCCTGGTGTCCCGTCCAAGGGCCCTACGCTTCCTCCTGAGCCTCATCCACACCTGCTTCCCGCTGTGCCTCATCCCTGCTCGATGTGGGGGAAGTGTCCAAAGGATGAGAGTGGAGGCTGTGAGCTGTGAGCAGCCTGCCCATGTCTGGATGGCCCATTGCCTACCCATGTCCCTGGGGTGTTACAGAAACCTGTAAGCCCAGTCTTGCGCTCCACTCCTCCCTTCCGACCTGAGCCTCTAGAAGGAGCAGTGTGAGCAGTGAGAGCCTCTCCATGGCTCCCCTTCTCTAGGGAGAGAGCAGGGTCATCACCTCGACCTCTCCTCACTGCCCATGTTGATGCCTCAGTGCCTTTTACCCCATCTCTACAAACTCAGGCGACCAGGCAAGCCCTTGTATGACACCGCAGTCACCCCACTTCTACACTTTGTGCCTTCCCGAACTTTGAAAATGCAAGTGGCGTCATGCCTTTCCAGTTTGTGCACCATCCCAGACTCCAGGAAAACTGTGCATCTTTAACATGCCAGGGTCTGCCGTCTATTTCTGACCTCGCCTCCCACCTGCCTTCTCCCTCTCGGCACATCTCCGTCTTCTCATCTGCTGTGTTCCTTCCTACCCCAGGACCTTTGCATGTGCTTGTCTTGCTTCCTGAACCCTTCTAACCTCCTCCTGCGTGTGCTAGAGTGTTTGCCCCTGGCTGGCTCCTCTGCTGTGTGTGTGTGTGTGTGTGTGTGTGTGTGTGTGTGTGTGTGTGTGTGTGTGTGTGTGGTGGCACACTGGGATGGAGAGCAGCCCTGAAGGCAGCAGCCCAGACACCCCTCTTTTGGTTGCTTCTAATTTCCTGATGCCATGGAGAGCAGGATCCATTGGAGAGGAGGAAGGGAAAGGCTTGGAGATCTGGGAAGGACTCTTCCCCCTTGGAGCTAGCAGAGGGATGGATCAGGCTATGTATGTGTGTGACCTGGCCTGTGAAGGTTGCTTTTGAGGTTCTTTGACCTCTGGCACCATTCAGGGTGCAGGTGGGATACAGGTGGTGGAGCTGCTTGGACCAGGAATAGATTTTTTGAGATGAGTTTAGTGTGTGTGTGTGTGTGTGTGTGTGTGTGTGTGTGTGTGTGTGTGTGTGTAGGTGGAGCTGAGCTCCTGAAGGTACTAGGCAACCTAGGGGCAAGCTAGATGCCGAAAACCTCACCCCAGCACCCCCCTGTCTCTCTCTTAGCATGTGTGGATGTATATGTGATTTCATTGGGAGCTGGGAAGCCTTGGGTAGATGGGGGTTTTGTAAAGTACTTGTTGGGCTCCGGGGAAGGATCTAGAAGGTGAGGCATGGTAGTCAGAGAGTGGGGTGCAACAGGCAGAGTGTGGAGAGCTGGGGTGACCAGTAATGCCAAGGTCAAGGTGTCTCGGGGGAGGAGGGGGGACCACTGAACGTACAGGGCAGCAGGAAAGACGGTACAAGGGAATCCTTGAGACAAGACAATTGCATCCTTTTTAGTTTCCCCACATGCCAAGTGTGTGTTAGGAAACTGCCTACCCAGTGAAAAGCTGATGCACGGGCAATACATCAAATTATGCTAATGGGACCCAAATAATTGGTTGGTTTTTAGAAATTATTGGTGTGATCTTTGGTTGATGAGGCTGCTGCGGACTAAATGATGGCCCTGTCTAGCCACGCTTTGACACAAGAAGCCTCGGCAGATGCTTCCCGGCCTCCTGGTTGGAAGAAGAGTGCTTGGTCACAGTCAGTGTGGATTCCTTCCTTATCTATGGTTCTGTGAAACTGGCCCCAGGAGCCACAGCCCCAGGAGGCCGGGCCTCAGATGGGGGTGATGGCACTAGAGCCATGGGGAGCAGTGTGTGGGGGAGGGGAGTTCAGCTATGGGAGCACAGGCAGGCACTGCCAGCCATGCCCACTACCTCTTGGGGCCACAAGGGACTGGAGGGGCTTCAGAGCCTGCAGAACTGAGGGCTTGTATATGGAATACAGTCCCTGGCCCATCTTTAGGAGGAGGGGGGGGAAGATGGTGTCACCCAGCCCTCCCTCCTCTCTGTCTGTCCTATCCTGGGGGTCCCTCTACCAGCCCACCTCCCTTCAGTTATTGGGACTGATTAGCACAGAGGTACAGCAGGATATCAACATTCAGCCACTACAGAAGCAAACACCCTTACAGACCGGGTTCAGGTTCTTGGGAGTGAAGCGGCCAGGGCCAGTCCCTGGAGGGACTGTCCAATGGATTTGGAATCTCCTAGAACAATTATACGATGCCCCAGGAGGAGAAGACATCAGGTTAGAGCTATGTTCTTCAGAGAGTGAGGGTGTGAAGGGATCTAGAGAGATCGAGGAGTTGAGTGAGTGAGTCTCAGAGGCTGGGGAGTTAGGGAGGAGGCTGGGGAGTTGGGGAGGAGGCTGCAGCATGGCCTGCAGATAGTTAGCATGAGCAGGGGGGCAGAGGAGCCTTAAGGACACAAGGAAAACATGCATTCCAGAGAGCACCAGGACGAGGACTTCAGAGGCTGGGGAGTTGGGGCTGGGTCAGCTTAGGGAATGAAATTGTGCACAAACAAGCGAGGAGTGACCAAGGCATCCAGAGGCACAGGGCATGGTGAGATCAGACCTGGCAGTTCTGAGGCCAGATGATGAGGCTGTAAGAGTCAAGGGACAGAGCCTGGGGTACCCGGGATTCCTAGCTTCTATCCCAGTACTGACGCAGAGGCTCACCAGGGGTTAAGGGTTGGTGGACACTGGAAGCACTCTATCTACACGGATGTCACTCACACAGGAAATTCAAACGGACACATCATGACAGGGAGTGGTGTGGCCTGGCTTTCCTGAGGCCGGCCTCCAGTCCACCACCTCTCCTCCTGTGTGGTGGTCAATGGCCTCAGATGGATCAGGTGCTCCAAGAGTCTATTTGCTTGCCCGGCATTGACATTCCTTCAAACTGGCTTCATCCCGGGGCAG